GTTTTGTAGCCAGCATCCTGCCCTCAGCAGACTATTCTTTCCAGTTGCCTCATGGAAGTGTCCTCCCCTTCTAGCAGAAGCAGACTCTTTGGCTCGGTGTAGTTGGAGGCTACTGTATCAGGCAGGTATAGCTGGAGGAATGGATGGAGTACGGCCTAGGGGAATTCTCTGAGTCTGAGGAGAAGGGGATTAACCATTCAAAGCCAAACCTCTTCCTCAGTTTGCCTGTAGAGGCACCTGCTGCATTCAGAGGCTTTTCCACCTCTCTTCTGGCCCTGCTTCTCTTCGTCGTCTCCTCCTCCTTTGGCTCCCTGCACCACAGGAAGCAAAGGAGAGTGGAACGTAGATGCTTAATACAATGGATGCAGCCCTTGGTCATCAGGGCAGAAATGTGTGCAGGGAGGATCCGCAGGTACAAGAAGGATGAAAGGAAGGAGACATCATCCCTGCCTTGCCACAGTCCCTTAATCTTCTTCCCCCTGTACTGAAACCCCTTTGTCTCTTCCGTGTTCCTCTCCATAACTCCTCTGCCAATGCAACAAGGCTGTATTTTCTCTGCATGCCTGGGAAGCTTTGGGCAGGCTCTGCTGCTGAGTACAGCAGTGTATCTTGACTAAGCATTTTATAGCTCACAAAATATCATATGTTGTCGCTCAGCATTGTAGATACCCTGGATAAAGTCCCTAGGTGCCTGGACTCTGCTGGCGGAGCAGTTACACACTCCCCTTACAGCAGTTGTGTGGGACATGAAAGAGTCTGGAGGCTTCTGTGTGTGAGCAGTTCTTTAATATTTTTTATTTATTTATTTATTTATTTATTTCAGAAATGTCTTTTCCTCGATTCTACTGAGATTTGGGAACAATTCACCAGTTTCAGCGTGCTTGGTAGTCACTAAAAGTCCAGTGACAACAGTTGCCATTTTGTGGCTGTTTGTGGAGAGAGCTGATGAGCTCTCCTAGAGGGCAGCCAGCCCCATCACACAAATGGCTGCTGCAGCTGGCGTCGCCTGAAGCTTAGTGGGTGACATTGGGAGTAGGGTGATGGTTGGACCGGATCATCTCGAAGGTCTTTTCCAACCTTAATGGTTCTGTGATTCTAAATTTTTGTTGAAGTGTATTTCCATAGCCAGGCTGTGTCTGCTTGTGCTGCTGTTTTCCTTTCAGCTTGCATGCAGAGCTATCCTGCCCCCACAGCACAGAAGCACAGACAGCTCTGTACATCTGCCATCCAGGCGTTCCTGCCATGCCTTTGGTGGCGCCGTACAACCTGCCCTCATCAAAGGGTGTTGCTCTAGGCCAGCAGGGTGTGATTTGCTCTGGAGCTGGGCGATGGGGTACCTGTAGAACTGGGCTCTGCCCCCATCCATTTCTCTACCGCATATTGGCAAAATTTGGCCTGCCAGTCCAGCTCCTACAGAGTATTGGTAAATGGCATTAAAAGGTGGCAGGACACGTTTGTGTTGTGCTTGGGCTGATTGTTTACTTGAATTTTCCCTCAGGGTTTTAGAAGGCAGGAAAGTTAGAAGGCAGACCTGCTGTTTTCATTATCTGCTTCCAGCAGGGGGAGATGGGTCCGGAGAGTTATTTCTTCTGGGAGCACACGCAAAAAAAAAAAAAAAAAAAAAAACACAATGTTATTTATTTTATTTGTGAGGATCTCTCCAAGGATTTGTGTGATTCCTGCTTGTTTGGACTTCTATGCCCAGGCGACCCTTTACTTTGACTTCTGTATGTTTCTAAAAGCAGGTATGGCCCATCAATTTTGGTGGTGTTTTTCTCCCCCAAGGTTTACAAGACACTCAAGGGAATTTTATCCTCATCTCCCTGATTATTGTGATTATTATTATTAAATAGGCATGCTAAGGTGGTTCTAATGAGGATTGTGTAGATGTCTAAGAAGATACAGACTTCACTTGTCCTCCCATCTCAGTAGAGAGGGGCCTCCCTGTGATGCACCCCATTTTTGTAGTCCCACCTCTAGTCAGGATGTTAAAAGGGGTTTGGGGGCAGGATGCCTGCCTTCTCTCTCCCCCAGACCCCCTCTGTCACTCTCTGTATAAAACATATTGGTGCCACTTTCCACGAGGTATATTTAACTAAGCATTAAATTTAGATTTAACTGGATAGTTATTGCCTCCTAAGTAAATACTCTGAGATAAGGAAATATTTAGTGAGCTCTAGCAGTTGGGTGGCAGATGCTTCTTGCATTACATAATAGTTAATCTTCAACAAATATGTTTTCCTTACTCCACTGGCATTTAATTAACATACAATAGCTCTTATTAGATGTAGATGAAACATGTGGAAGACCCTTGTAAAATGGATCCGTGCAACCTTTTGGCTTGGAAGAAGGGTGCGTTTCCATCACTGGGAACTTCACGTGGGGCTGGGTCTCGTAGCTGTACTCAAGCTCTGCAACAGGACCACAGAGGTGTCCTCGTGGTGGTGCCTGTTGCATTGCGTGTGGGATGCAACCAGTGCCGTGGCATCTCTGTAGTGCTGCCCGTCTCATTAGATGGGCATCTCACTAGTGGCTGCCTATCAGCAGCATGGTTGTCTTCAAAGTGACACCCCAGATCTCTCTCTGCAGTAGTTTGGGAATAGATTAATGCCCAGCTCCTACTCGTTGCTCCCCTTCTCTGGTGCCACCCACACCAAGTCTTCTGTAGGGGAAATATCTGAATCTGCTTACTCCCTTGGCTTGAATACAAAGCAGTCATCTCTTTTTGCCACTGCTTGCATGACACTGGAGCAGGGGTGTCATGACCTTAGTTCTTAATTTGTGGGCTTTTAACACATGAAGGGATTGTTTAAGTACTCTTAGACAGCACGGCCTTTCCATACCGAGACTGCAGGGGTCAGTTCCTAGGGGTTCAGAAAGGACTGGACGCATTCCTGGAAGAAGAAAATCAATCGAGGGCCATTAACTACAAAGACACTGCCACTGGCTTGGGACATGCCATAGCCACCAATCACTGGAAATTAGAGAAGTGCTCGTGGGCAGCATCACTGCAGCTCGCCTTGTGCTCCTGCGGTGGCTCCAGGCTGCGCTCAGCGCCAGGATGCAGGGCTGGGTGCATCTGGTCCTGAGTGGCCCTTTGCAGGGTGTGGAGCCAGTGCTTACATCTCTTAACTTTTGGTCCACCGTGTCCCCGGGAGCCTCCAGGACCAGAAGTGAGGCAGGCAGTACGTAGGACGTGCATTTTCCCCTCCTGCACACGCATGCAGCAGTGCTGTGACCACACAGGGCAGCACCTCATAGCAGAGCTCCCCCAGCTTTTGTTGCACCCACATCCCTGGACACATGTTTCTGGCCACCCCTCTTTGCTCCCCCATCCCCGCTGCCCCCTCCCAGCCCCAGAAGGGGTTACGCCAGCCGAGCATCCCTCGGAGCATCCCTTCATCCCTCCGGCAGGCAGAGGAGAGCGGGCTGGGGGAGAAAAGCAGGCAGGCACCGTCAGCAGCGAAACATACGGCTCATTCCTCTCCATTAATTTAATCTCCCTTCCCCTCGCGACGATGCTGGTGATGATGGTATGTGTGCTCCGGGAGCCTTCCCGGTGGGCAGTGCTGCCGCAGGGCTCCGGGCTCAGCTGTGGGTGCTGGCACTCGGGGAGGACAGGCTGAGCATTCACACTGCGGGCAGCTCAATACCAGCATTGTCTGCCGGCCATCCATCCCTCCCAGGCTGGGAAAGGAGCTGGGGGGGAGGGAAGGACGGAGGGGAGAGAGGGAGGGAGGGAGGGAGGCGGAGGGAGCGATGTGCAACTGTTTAGCTAGGGAGAGAAAGTCTGAGAGGGGAGAAAAAAAAAAAAAAAGCACGGTTTGAGGCTGCAAGGGCAGTTGCCAATACAGCTCCTCTTTAAATCAGCGAGCTGGCGGCTTCGGGCCGCAAAGCCAAGTTGTTTGCACTTTTGGCCACAGCTACTTTGCACCCCCCACCTCCTCCTTCCCTTTTCCCTGCGTTTTCTCTCGTCAATATTCCCTGTATCGTCCTCCATCCTTCCCACCCCGCTCCCTGGGCCTCCCTCCATCTGCCTCCCCTGCCTTCTCCCTGCCCGCTTCTTCCTCCCCCTCCCTCCATCCTCCTCTTCCTCTGCCATCCCCTTCCCTCTCTGCCTCTCCCTCTCCCCGCTGCAGTGCCCCCCTCCCTCTCCATCGCCTCTCCTCTCCCCTCTCATGCCCACAACCACGCTCGGGTCCCACCGCAGAACCGTCCCAGGGCGATGGGGTCGGTGGGGCTGGGGGCACGGGGCAGCAAGCGACTGCTCCGCGCTCCCCTCCCGCGCTCGCTCCTGCTGTGGAGCCAAGCCGCTGTGGCTCAGAGTACGGCTCCCTCCCTCCTCCTCCTCCTCCTCCTCCTCTTCTCCCTCCTCCCTCCCTCGCTCCGCCTGGGAAAGTGGGTTAGGAAGGGAGCTGGGAGGCTGCACAGCCACGCACTGGAGCAGGACCATCCACACGCGCAGCCAGCAGCACGGGAGCTGGGCTGTTCCTTTTCCTTTTATTATTTTATTTTATTTTTTTTTTTTTCCGCCTCTCTCCATCACTCCAGACGGGTTGATTTAATTACGGCTATTTTTAAATTATTTTGCGACCTGACTCGTGCGTCGTTTTGATCTACCTTGCCGGCACGCACGCTCCTCTCTCTGTTTGTTTTTTTTTAATTGAAGGTTGTGCTAAGACTTTTTGGAAAGCCTTAAAAAAAGGACAAGAGGGGGAAAGAAGCCAGCGAAAGACTGAAAAGAGCAAGAGAGAAAGTGGCAGCTGAGGAGGACTGTGAAATCACCTCCCCTTTCTGGGGCTGTCCATCAGAGCGAGAGTTGTACATTATTACTATTGTTTTTCTTTCTCCATCCATCTATCCACATACTCGTGCAGAGAGAGAGAGAGACAAGTACAGACAGTGAAACTCAACGAGACCAGCCATGGTAGCAAGGGCTCAGCCTGATCGGAAACAATTACCTCTGGTCCTACTGAGATTGCTTTGCCTTCTCCCTACAGGGCTGCCAGTCCGCAGCGTGGATTTTACCCGAGGTACCGATAACATCACCGTGAGGCAGGGGGATACGGCCATCCTCAGGTAGGGCATTTTGCCAACTTTTCCTTCTCCGTTCGTGTGTCTTGTTGCTGTGTCTGTGCACCCTATAGATGCGATGCTCCGTACGCGTGTGTGTGTGTCTCTGTGAAAAGCGTGTGTTGCTGTACGGCTCGAACTGCAGCAGCAGCTGCTTTACAAACGGGCTCCGCGCGCGTGTTGGGGCTTTAATACCCCAAATTGCAAAGCTTTTGGAAGCCGTTCGCAACCACTCTCCTCCGCGTCGTGCTCTGGATCAAAAGGATTTCGGTGGGGGAGAGATGTGTTTGTGCAGCCGGCGCTCGCAAATGTAGGTTTCCCACCAGCCCTGCAGTATCAATAGAGGAATCGAAAAGGGATCCAGCTGTGCTTGCCAGATGTTGCATTGATCTCCCCACACTTCTTCTCCTACCTCTGCAAAAACTTTATCCCCGGTGCTGCAGGAACTCCTGGGCAAGTTCTTTGGGGGGAAACTCTGCCTTTTTAATTTTATTTATTTATTTTTCTGCCCGGAAGGGAGGGGAAATGGATACAGCTTTTGAAAGGTTGGGGGAAAAAAACAGTGGAAGAGCTCCGAGGTCTACACAGCTTGTAGCCCATTTGCTGGGTCGGTTTCTTTGCAGGGTGTGTGAGGAGGGTGTCTCTGCATTTCCCTAGCCATTGCACAGGGTTTCTTTCCAGAGGCAGTTCTGAGTTCTCGGGCTTTTGCTTGAGAGCGTCCCAAATAGCTGCAAGCCAGGCATCTTTTTCCTGCGGGTTTGTCGTTTGTGTTCTGCCGTGCTCAACTTACCTTCAGTAACTTCACTGCTGAAGGAGAATGCTGCGCGTGTGAGTGTGCACACGCTGTATATTACGGCTATAAAACTCCTGGACTCAATGTAAAATAAGTCTGGGATCTGTACGAGGAGCTGATGGTGCACAAACCCTGAAGCGTCAAGGGAGCAATTCCCTAGCAAAGCTAACAGCAGCTGCAAAGTTTTCCTTCTCTTCCTCTGAAATAAATCCTGCTAGATGCCACCGAAAGGCCTGCTGCAGGATCCCCTGCGTCCTGCATCCCTTCCGTTTAATGACAGCGGGGCATGTGAGCCAGCAAGATGGGATCGGGGACGAAGGATGCCAGAAGAGGGATGTGTGTGTGTGTGTATCGCTTCCCTCAGCCCCCGTGTGCTGGGTTGTTTTGATCCCGGCATATCCGTTGAGAGCTTCCATTCCCCAGCTCTCCAGACTTGTTAACTCGCATGTAAGGTTTATCCACACGGAGTAATAGGATTTACAGGGTAATTCATCTGCCTTGCATACGCGGTGGAAAGGGGTTTAGATGCGACACGGCAAACACCTAACAAGGGCTGTTGCCTCTGACTCCAGGCTCCTCTCCCTTCCACCCAGCAGCAATTCATACGTCCCATTAACCCTTTTCTGGCAGGACTCTCAGCTGCCTTATCCCATTTTTTAAAGGCAAATCCCTTCCATCAGTCCCTAGCTTTGGTCAGGCAGCTGTTTGCTGGCATATGCGTGGTACATACGGCAGCAGACAAGTCATTAAGCTCACTTGCCCAGCCAGGGGTCACTGGATTTCTATTTCCCACTTAACCTTGGAGCTTTTGAGTTTATCTAAACACCGTGTGCTAAAGCTGCGTTTGCAGCAGAGCAGGGCCGAGTGGATGGCGGAGACACCGCCTGCATGTGCTGCCTGCAAAGCGTTTTGTCAGCAAGCTGAGCGGGGCTGCGTGTGAGAGTGGTTTCCGTATGCGTGTGTGGGGAGCCTGGCTTGCCAACGTGATGTCAGGCAGTAAAATAAAACATCTGAACGAGGTGATCCAGCTGTGTCAGCCAGATGTGTGCCAAGCCACACAGTTTGCAGGAGCAGCACGCCTCCCAGCCCAGTAACTGCTTGCCCCGAGCTGTACGGTGCTCCTGGGGTTCCTGGCAGGCTGCGCTGCCATCAGAAGTGGCTGTGGGCAGTGCACGGGCTTCTCCTGCCTCGGCTGCCTCTCTGAGCTCTGTAAGCAGACCTGGCTTTCCATGTTTCCTGGGAAGGAAGGTTGTCTCCCTCCCTCTCCCTGGGACCAGCCTCAGCTTTCTGGCAACTTTCTTCCCCTGCTCCAGAAGAGAGAGGACTGCCCCCCGGGGCTTCAAGGTGGGGAGGTTCCCCTCCATCCAGGCCACTTGAGGTCCTGCAGGATGGCATTTCAGTCCCGCAGTTTTAAAGCCAGGCTCTGTTTGCTAGCTCCCGCCTCGCCGTCTTCCCTGCCCCTCCGAAGCATAACTCACTCTGACAGCCTCGTGTTTGAAAAACTCCCGGCACCTCGCTCTCCGTGCCTGCAGATCCACCAGTGGCAACACAAGGGGAAGACCTAGCCGGGAAAAAAAAAATCATGAGTTGATCTGTATTGACTGTGTGCTGAGCAGATCTTTACCTCCACAGAGAGATAGGTAAGGGATACAGAGATGCTATCACCTGCTTTTGTTGTGTTTCTGCTTCCGAGAGAAGAGGCAACACGCAGCAGCAGCTCACCAGCGCCCAGTAGCTCCATCCTGTAGCTTGTAAGGAAGTGAAAATGTAGGAGGGAATAAAAATGGTATGTAGTTGGAGAGAATTGAAAGCAACATACATAATGATAATATTGCCAAAAACATTTTGTTCGTGCACGTTGTGGTGCGGAACATTCAGTGCGGCACAGGAGACGGGATTCTCAATGAATCTTCTCCTTTGGGGCCTTACGCGTTTATATATGCTGTCACACGTGTAGGTGGAAGAATGGGTGGATGGGACTCATCTATGAAGGGGAGAAAAAATATTTTCTTCTTATAAGCCCTAATGTTCCTAGAGGAAGCCCCTCCTCTGGAGCTTCATCTACAGCTTGTTAGAACGTAATTATTCTGGGAAGCGTGGATATGGCTTTTTAAAGCTATGGCATTTAAATACTCTCTTGCTATGGACTTTGAAAAAAAAAAAAAATAATGTTCTGAACGCTGTACTGGCTCATGTCCTAAACGACCTGGCAGCAGATTTGATTCATCTGTTGGCCTTGCTGAAGGTTGATGACTTTTAGCGAGTGTTTGGCATGGGGAAGTTAGGAAGGGAATTGCAGAAAGGGAGAAGAAAAGTAGCTTGGACTGTCCACAGGGAAAAGGGTAATGGTCAGCTCCTTAGAGTAAGGCTGAAAAGGGAGGAGGAGGGGTGTGGAAGCTGGAACAGGGGAGGAGATAATGGTGTTTGTCCAGCTACAAACCAAGATGATGGACCAGGATGCTTCAAAGATGATGCTGTACATCAGGGGCCCTGTCAGGTTTAAGGTTTCATTTTAAACTCTGTCTTCAACGAGTGAAGGAGGACACTGAACCTTATTTTAAGTATTGAGAAGGAATTGTGTAGTTCCTGCCAATGTTTTGCTCGCAAGATCACAGGCACAAGGTTATCGGGTTTTGTATGCAGCTTCCCAGCTTGACATGAAAGAAAAATATCTCCAAGCAATAAACACACAAAATAGCCCCCAAAACTAATTAAAACATGAAAAGAAAAATAAGGGCCAACCCCGACTGTGTTCTTTCTTTTAGCCAACCCCTTAGCACCCTCTCCTACCTCATTTTGTCTGCATGTAGTGGGTAAGCAAAGGCAGGGACCCTATTTTGGTTGTCTGCTGTCAGCCTGGGGATGGGATGAGAAATAGGAGGACCTTGGCTAAGCCAGGACATTTGTGGTAGCTCAGGGCTGCTGCAAACTGGGGAGACAGGGGACCTTGCCAGTGTGTCCTGTTTGGCCTTCAGGCAGGGCTGGAAGCAATTTGGCCTCCGTAGTCCGTGCTGTGTGTGGGATCAGCTATCCGTACAGCATGTCGGGGGGAAAGATCAGCTCCATCGGGAGCCAGCTCAGCGCGCTCGTCCCCAAAGTGCCTTTACAGCACTTGTCTGAGGGCTTCAGCAGGACTTGTAACTTGTCCAGGGCTTTTGGCAGTCCAGGCACAAGGGGCAGGTTTGGCTTTTTGCGACTTCTGAAATGGATGGAGCTCGCCACTAGCTGGAAACACAACGGGTCACATTGCCATTCCCACCCGCTCAGCTGTACCAGGACAAATCCACCAAAGCCCAAGGGCACTGCCAGAAATACCTCATTTGTCTTTGGGGCAGGTTCCCAGGGACGGATAATAGAGAGGCACAAGTGACTCATCCAGGGCCTGAGCTGCCCAGTGCTTCTCAGGTGATGCTCAGACCCTTGGGGAGCTGGGACCTCGCCAAGTCCAGAACCTGGCTCGTGGGCTTCGAGTTCTTCCAAGCGTCAATTTTTCATCAGGAATTTAATTAGTCTGTTTCTGATGCACTGATGGATACTAACAGTTAACTGAGTGCGCAATATCCATTCTTACCAGGTATTTTTAACTAGTAGGAGGATTCAGGCTGATGGCATGTATGGGAACTTCCATCCCAATGGGTACTTAGTGCCTTAAAGTGTGTGTCAGAAGTTGGGCCAGCCTCAAATGACCAACAAGAAGGATAGCACTGTGTGTGATCCTGCAACACGAGCAATTTATGCTCCCTCTGTTCTTGACCACTCAGTATTTTGCTGGTTTTTGACGTGTGGAGCTGTGCTAGAGGACAAAGGGACCTCAGGCGAAGCAGCACCGCCGCATCACAACAAAGTTTATGCCCTGTACATTAATTTTAAGAGAGAAGGAAAAGCTGTTCAGATTACACTTATAATTAGCATATGATTTATAACAGGGAGCACTGAGTTGAGCTCTTTGCTAGGAATGAGAATAGGCTCGCTCAAAGGTATAATGCCACATAATAACAGAGTCTTGGCAGTAAAATTGTAACCCTGATTATCAGTAGGATTGTTGTGGCACTTAGGGCCGCCGCTAAGTTGCGGCACCCTTTCTATTAAGTGCCAGGGGAGCAAGAGCGAGCCCTGGGTCTGCGGCGTGTGCGGGCTGTTAGCTGGGACGGGCAGGGGCTGGGGGTGAGGAGGAGGCACCCCAGGGTGACGGGGCTGGCCCACGACCTCTCCA